TTGCGCTTGCATGCTCGTGGGCTCTCACTTGGGACATCTTTTGATGGAGTAGTTGTTGTAGATGCTCGCCGAATGCTGAAGCCATAGGTAGGTAAGATGAATGATGGGAGAGAAGCTTGGGATGAGATAGGACAGACTCTGCTGGGGGTTGGGATCAACTTTGGCTCATGGCCTCATTCAGAGGGTATATGGACCAATATTGAGCCTAAGTTGTCAAGCAGGGATCAGGAGTGAGCCCCAAGTATAGTTTTGCTTTGCACTTTGACTTTCAACTTTGTATAAATCTTGGCAGCCTACTTTTCCTATGGGAAGCGCTACCGAAATTTTTGCAAAACTGAAAAGAGTTAGTCATATTCAGGTTCCTAGAAATTCTGAAAAGGCACATTTCCTACGGGAAGCGCTGCCGAAATTTTGATAAATTTGGAGAGTTAGAATATTTCCTGTTAGACCAATCTTAGCAACTCAACCCTGAGTAGGGGAGGTGTTATTGAACCTCTCAGAAGCTGAGTAGGAGCTTAATAGAGGAGTTAGGATGTGATTTAGGAGGATTACTCCCTACTTAGGCTAAACGTTGTAGTGGAATCTCTTTGACCTGTGCTGTGGTGCAGGCCGTGCGTATTGATTGAAGGTCTGACTTGGTCAGCCTGACTATTCTTCTGTTATCACTGATAACAGGTCGGTTGCCGATTCGTTGGTATACGACTCAACCTTTCGTCCCTTTTTGTTTCTCAACCTAAGACCTTGACCCTGGCTGGTTCTTTGTTTTGTTCGATTTTCACCCAGATTCTTTATAAATGGTCATTTCTTCAAGGCTGAGTACCTTTGTTGTGGAATGGTGGGGAAAAGGTTGGGCTTGTGTACAAGGCAGGGTGTGAGCTGCAGAAGGCTGAAAAGTTGACCCCTTTAGTATATGTGTTGTTGTTTGATCCTTGTGTGTGGTCACAGGTATATATGGAGCATGTTAATCAAGTATGATGTTTTGGTTGTTTTGAGTTCAGGCGGGCAAGCCACGTAGCTATTGTGAGAGTGTACTATCACATAACTCTTTGCTTGACTAAGGATATTTCCCCTTATTTATATATTGTGGTTGGGCTCTCGCTCGCACAGCCCGCACTCGGTTGTGTGACCGCATGCCGATCTTTTCTGTATCTTTGTCTAACTTTAGTTTATGGAACGATAAAAGTTCCGGGCGGAAGGACTAGCGTGTCGCTGGTGATGCGCCAGACAACTCACCACCGCTCCAAATTCCATCCTGCCCTATAGGCCGTCTTGCTCTGCACCCCTCGGGACACCTCAGGGTGCAAAAGACGGAAAGACCCTCAGGCCGGGTTTGCGCCCGCTAGAGGATTACCTCCCCCTAGCGCGCGTTTCAGCCAACGCCTGAGCGTCGGAAATAACCCCATGGCTGAGAATAGACCACTTGGGTATGGATACCACGTAATGCGCCGTCATCACAGATACTCACGTAGAGCTGCATAGTGAGTTGGTATGTGTGGGTACTGCGTCCGCACGATCTTATCCTAAGTCCTTGCGCGCAGCACTCGCCGATCCTCGTAATAAAAGTTATGGGTCAGGCGGCGAGACCAAGAGCGTGCTACGGTCAATAGACTCGGGTTTGTGATAACGTGAAGCGACACATGGGCGAAAGACCAGTCCCAGTCGACCTATGGGAGCCCGTGTACGGGCCTCACTACCCCGAACATTGGATAGCCTACGGGTAGAACTTTGGGTCTCCTCCGCGCGCGCGTCGTTTGGGCCTGCCTACCCCATCCATTTTAGGAGGCCACTAGACCACTGCGAGTTGGAATAGGTTTCTCTTTTGAACTTTCATGGTTGGACGTTGTAGTCCGTGGTAGCCGTCAAAGTCATACCCCTTGATTTAGGCTACCACGACAGCCCTAAAGCTGTCTACTCAACCCCTCTGCACAGGGTGCAGAAGAGGGTGTGGTCTTCAACCGCACATGGTGGTTGTCTGGCGTCGAGAGATTACCCCTCAAAGCGCCTGTCAGCCGACACTTGAGTGTCGAACGTGACCCTCGAGAATACCAAGGGCCGCGAGGCCACGAGTTCCACATAGTACCCCATCAGCGCAAATGCTTGCAGGTGCCCGCATGATCGATATGAGGGGGACATGCACTCACGCGCCTCTTATACGGAAGTTCAGCGCGCGGTGCCTATCTGAGTCTTGCCGTATATAGTTATGGGTCAGATACTGAAGGGACTAGGAGTTCTTGTGTTATGGCGTTGTTTATGGAGTTTGTTTCGTGTGGGGCTCCAGGTGTTATGGGTGAGTAAGTGTGAGTGTTGTGGTGTAACGCGTGGGTGTGTAGTACGTCCTAGTCGACTGACGTCGAGCGGCGTTTGGGACTTCAGCCCCCCAATACGGCGATTCGCGTACGGGTTCGATTTTCGGGCGTTCGACCGCACATACCCCCTATGCTACAGCGAGCGAGAAACGCCCTCGGCTGGGCTACCTCTGCAATTGCATACGAAAAGCTTTCGCATGTGGTTCAGTAGCTTGGCAGGGATACGCCCACCTAAGGGAAGGTGACAGCTCCCGTAGGCGGAGGTAGTGGTGCCTCGCATGACTCTGTCCTGTCGTAGGGACTCGCGAGAGGTACGGCTGGCGCACTCGGCCGGAGCGGCAAACGCTCTCCGCAATAAGTCCTGCATAATCCTGCGTGACGCCGCCGGGAGGGTCCCCGTGCGGGATCTATGCGCTCGACAGGTGGCGCCATTGCCGGGGATCTCGGCTGCCTACCGGGGTCCACCGTGAACGAACCCAGGTTAAGAGCAGGCTGATGATCTAGGCAAAACGACAACCTTTGATGGAAAGATTTTTCTCCTTGACGATGATTCGAGTATGGTGGCTTTCTCAATGACACGACAGATCTGCCTGCCTTGATTGTGAGTAAGGTCGGAAGTGTGCATTATGTGTATCCGTTTCAGCGATAGGGTCAGAGTAATAATATAGACCTGATAGGTTACTTTAGTTAATAAAGATAGTAGTTGAATGGTGAAAGCAGGCAAGTTAGAGACTCGACGGCCGATTGTTTTGTTAAAACCTTTCGTCCCTCAACAGGTGTTTGAGAAAACGTAAAGATGGCGGACACCGACAGAATCGAGCGGGGCCCAGGTGCTACACCTGAGGACTTCGTCAAGGCATTGGAAAAAAGAGAGATGGCACGGCTTCAGGTGCCCAAGGTTAACATTTTTCACTTCAACGGGGATAGAGTGTCCGAGTGGCTTGAGTTGCTGGAGCAGGTCACGAGCGAGGCGTCAGAAGCAGACAAATTCAAGCTGATGCCTAGGTATGTATGGTGGGAGCTTAGACCTGAGGTAATGAAGGTAGCGGCCGGCGCAAATGGTGAGTGGGCAAAGTTTAAAGAGGAGATGCAAAGACGTTTCAAGTTAGGTGACGACCTGCTCACCAAAGAAGACCTGGAAATGTTGAGACGGGACGAGTTCTCCACAGTGGGGGCCTTCGCCACGGCGTTTGAGAAAATGGAAAAGAAAGTCCCAGGGTTGGCAGAAGAGGAGCAGTGTGCCACTTTCCTAGGACACTTCAAGAACTGGAAGGGATCGTCGCTAACTAAGAAGGTTGCGCCAGGAAAGAAACTCACTTGGGCTGCCATAAAGGAAGGCGTAATGGACGGAGAACTGGACCAGGTAGACATCTTCCAGATGAGGCAGGCTAGGAAGAAAATAAAGGCCTTAGACGCTACGATGAGTGATGGGCGCGACTTCAAGAAAATGGTGGAGGATGCGGTGGCCCAACTCGATGCAGCAAAGGAGGCAAGAAGAAAAACCATGGCAGCGCCATAGACCGTAGGGAAAGCGAAAAAGGCAGTAGTGCAGGAAGAAGAAGAAGAGGAAGAAGAAGAGGAGCCTRAGCCGCAGAAACTGACAAAGGCTCAAAGGAAAGCAAGGAATTTGGCTCAAGGAGGGCAAGGCTCAGGGAGGGTCCAGGTCCCACAAGCTGTAGCCATGCTGCCCCCTGAGTCACCTAGTCAAGCCGCACCAACACACTATGGGCCGTGGCCAGGTTGTGGACCTTCAAGCCACTGGCATGGACATTGCTCATATGCCCCATGGCCACAGAGTGGGCCGCATGGGTCGTGTGCCGGACCACCGATAAGCATGGCTTCCTGCGGCTGCCCGGGGCCCTAAGCTCAGCAAGTAAGTCACCCAGACCCACCGCCAACCCAACCCCAACAGTCAGCCCTACAAGGGTCGCAAGGCAATCAAGGCGGTGGACGAGGACAAAATTAAGGGTGGGGCCGGGGACGAGGCAATGGTGGTCGGGAAGGAAACGGCAGAGGCAATGGTGGTGGTAACGCTGCAGGCGGGGGAAGCGAGGGCTAGACAACATCCGGGACTCAAGGTGGCCAGGAAGGTGGAAGAGGTGCTGGCAGGGCGAGAATAGATTGGAGGAACGCCATTTGTTGGCACTGCGGGCAGAAAGGTCACACTATCAAGTTCTGCCATGTCAGGAGAAACGATGAAGACGAAGCCCTAATCAGCACCAACTATGATGGAGATATGTATGACAAGTGGGGGTACCACCTTGATCCAAGGACCCCAGGCGGGACAAGGAAGGAGGCCCTACGACGAGCAGAGGCAGGTGAACCACCCGCTCCTCCAGCCATGTTTCGGATTTGGCAGGAGAAAGGGGTCCGTAGTGATATCAGGGTTGAAGAGATGGGAGAGAACGAAGAGGTGGAGGAAGAGCGAAAAGCTGAGACTACTAAGGCTGAGCCCATCATAGTAGAGTCGGACGATGAGATTGAAGAGGATTACTGGAACAGGCCGTTGCACGTTGAGACAGGGGAAGACTATTGGAGAACGGTCCGACAAACGATGGAGAATATGGAAGACTTAATGGATAAAATTTGAAGGTACCAGGGAAAGCTGGTAGATTTATGCGAAGAGGTTGAGGAGTGGCAAGGGCAGAGGCCACAAATCTTCATGTATGGGTCAGGCCCAAAATCGTAGGGGGCGCCTGTGAGCATTCCGAACGTATCGCTCACAGGGGGAACTCCCAGATAAGGGATGAGCTTTAGGCTGCCTTCACGATCTGGGAGGGCCGCTCAGGCGGTTAGGACGAGAGTTCGAGGGCCAGCGAGTCCGGAACCGCCGACTAAGGATATTCCCGGGTCGAGCGGGGAGAAGGAAGTTGTAGAACCTCCGGTGAATGAGGAGGAGGAGGATGACCGCCTAAGGAACGAGGAGGATGAAAAGGCAGAGCAAAGAGTCAAGAAGAGGGGCGTTAAGGCCGATACGGAAAAGACCCCGGAGCAGAAAAAGAAGAAGTACACAGTTAGGGTGGAGAAAGGATTCAACGTGGAAGAGATTATGGACCGAATCCTTGAAGGACATAACCACCTCATGAACTTGAAAGATGTCTTGGCATCGGCGCCAAAACTGCGAGAAGAGCTCAAGGCACGTTTGTGCAGGAAGATGGTGGTTTGCGTACGGTTAGGGGCCATAATCCCTAAGGAAGCTGAGTGGTCGGAGACCGGTACGAAAATGGACTGGAAGTCCGTGGCGTGCGGGTGTTTTGATGTTGTTGTAAAGGGGAAAGCATGCACGGCAATGGTGGACACAGGTGTAGAAATGAACATCATCAAGGAGGAGGATGCCCTGCCCCTGGGGATGGAGATAGACCGCTCCGACAATGGTATTTTTGTAGGAGCAAATAGTCAATCCATTTTTGTGGGGATCGCATCCAAGGTGGTGCTGGAGATCGGGAAGGTAAAAGTGAGGAGTTGCTTCTTCGTAATGCCCGACCTCGATCACCCTATTCTTATGGGAGGATCATTTTTGAGCAGAATAGAGACCGTCATCCTGAATAAGCATGACGAGACTATGTTTCTGGTCATGTGTGATCCCGTGTGAGGCAACTATGAGGTTGTCATGTGCCAGAACACAGGACCAAGGAGTACTAGGAATCGACCCAGCCCTGACTCTTTCACAATTGGGAAGTCAGAAGAAGAGAGGAAAAGGCTAAGGGTAGTCGACAGTGAAGAAGAAAGACGGCCAGAAGCAATGACCCTTAGCTTGGCAAGCATAGGTGACGCTATGGATATAGTGTCGACCTATGGGATGACAGACCCTGTGGCCGTCGAGGCCTTGAGAGAGAAAGTGGTGGAACAAATGGGAGCTGGAGAGATGAAACTGGTATATCGGGTACCAGGAGGGACCGGCGGAATGATGAGAGCACCACCTCAAATTGCAACTCGGCCTTTTTTAGAGGTGGGCTCAAGCAGGGTTCATAAAGGAGGTACAAAAGGGTAGATCAAAAGTGTCACCGTGTCCCGGTATTTGTAGCTGAAGAAAAAGAGGTGTACTACGAGCGGGAGAGAGAATTGATACGGCAAATGCGAGAGGATGCTGCGAACATGCCATGTCGTATCAATCCGGAGACTGGGAAGGCGTTGATTATAGGGGAGTTTGGCTTCCTTACAGCGCAGGAAGAAAAACTTATGGTGGAAACCATAAGAGGAAGGCATACTGCATATGCCTTCAATGATGATGAGAGAGGACGCCTGAATGTGGATAAAATTCCCATGATTAGGATACATACTGTGCCGCATGAGCCGTGGAATTTGCGGGGCGCACGCTATCCTAATCTTGCTAACGAAGAGAAGGTAATTGACTACCTAGATGGGAAGATCCGCACACATGTGGCAGACTACTTAAGCGGACCATAAGCATCCCCATGGTTTTGTTTTATCAAACCAAATGGGACGTTGAGGTGGGTACAGGATTTACAGCGCCTGAATGCTGTGACTGTTAGAGATGCAAGTGACCTCCCTAACACAGATGCGTTTTCAGAGGCATGCGCTGGGAGGGCTATAATATCTCTGATAGACTTGTATTTTGGTTATGACCAGTTTCCTGTCTACCCATCTGACAGGCCGATGACGGCGATGCATACCCCACGAGGGCTGATCCACATGAATGTCGCACCGCAGGGGTGGACAAATGCGGTTGCTATGGTCCAGAGGCATATAGTGAGAGCGATGCAGCCAGTAAGCCCTCACATCACGCAGCCCTATATCGATGATTTGGCCGTGAAAGGGTCGAAGGTAAAGGATGAGCATGAGGTAATGTCGGGAATCAGGCAGTTTGTTTGGGATCATGTGCAGGACTTGTGTCAAGTCCTGGACTTGCTACAAGAGCATAACCTTACTGCAAGTGGGTCGAAATCCAAACATTGTATGCGAGGAGCGACTATCTTAGGATTTGTGTGCGACGAGAAGGGTCGTCGGCCAGATACTAAGAAGACCAACAAGATTCTCGAATGGCGAACCCCATTCGAGAGGATAACTGAGGTAAAAAACTTCCTCGAAACTTGTGGATTTTGAAGAATATTTATAAAAAGGTTTGCGACGAAGACAGAGCACCTGCGAAAGCTCGTGCGCCCAGGACAAAATTGTGAGTGGGGAGATAAAACAGGAGTCTATGATAAAGAACCTGAAGAAGGAGTTTGAAGAAGGAGGACTGGTATTGGGAGTGCCAGACCATGCGGTCGTTATGACCAGACCCTTTATCATAGAGACAGATGCAAGACCGACTGCTTTGGGAGGAGTGTTGATCCAGAAAGACCTCAATGGAGAGGAGCGACCGCTAAGATTCGAGAGTCGAACGCTTAATACGGCTGAGAGAAACTACTCTCAGTTCAAGCGCAAAACCTTAGCAGTCCTCCATTGCTTGAGAATTTTCAGAAACTACCTCTTTGGCAGCAGGTTCGTGTTGAGGGTGGACCCAACCGGTCTAGTTGGTTCGCTGAAGAACTACGCTCCCTCAGATCCAACCATTGCCAGATGGCTGACGTACATCTGGATATTTGATTTTGAACTGGAGCGGATTCCAGGGAACAAAAATAGGGCGGATGGGTTGAATCGAGTCGACTGGAGCAAGAACAGCGAAGGAGTGATCGAGGATACTCCCCTAGTCGACGGGTTTTTGGACGATGAGGAGGATGTGAAACTTCACATCAACTCTTGGTCTTTGGCGGTAGGTAACTACATTACTCCTGGACGACCGGTGTGGCTGACACCTCCAGGGTATGCATGCTTGCCAAACTTAGTCCTTAAACCCTATGTGGAGGAGGACTCATGGGGACTGCCGGATGTGCAGTGGATGATGGATCTGGCCTTGGCAGACAAACACAAGTTGGGTGAGGACCTGATCACGATGGAGGATGAAGCCCGGCAGGTGGAGGATCATGAAAGGTCTATAGGAGGGGTTTATCTCTTGGCCAATGCCTTGTTGCAGGAGGAAGTGGCTAGAAGCGCTAGGAAGGATCAGGAAAGGAGTGAGAATGTGATCCATGAGAGAGATGGCGATGATTTCGAAGAAGGCAAGATTAAGGAGGTTTTTCGAGCAGAAGAGTATGATGGGGTTTATCTTGAACTCAGAATACTTCTTTCGTGCGAAATGAGAGAAAAAGATGTCAGCGAGAAAGTCTTGAAGATGAAACCAAACTTTCTGGTAAGGGATGGACACCTGTTCATGAAGAGCAAGGGGAGGAATCCCAGGAGGGTAGTCTGTGACATCACTCGTCAGATCGATGTCATGGTCGCCCTGCACGATGGCACAACTGGAGGGCAAAGGAGTACTGACACAACGTATCTCAAGATACACGAATTGTACTATTGGGATGGCATGGGAAAAATGATCAATGATTATTGCAAATCTTGCGTCCCATGTTAGGAGCGATCTTCCCTTAGGCCAAGGGAACCACTTCACCCAAGATACGTTCGTGAGGTTGGAGCCGTCATACATCTGGACCTGCTAGTAATGCCGTTGGGGATAGGGGGATTTAACTTCATCTTTGATACACGCGATAACCTCTCCGGGTCTGTGGACGGAAGGGCTATTCGCACCAAGACTGGAGAGACGCTAGCGCGATGCATTGAGGAATATTACCTCCGATACCCCTTTGTCTCCAGATTTGTCATGGACAGGGGGTCTGAATTCACCAGTGAAGAGGTAAAAACACTCTTGAAGAGGTACGGGGTGATTGCTGAGTATACTACTGCAGCACACCCTCAAGCAAATGCAATGGTGGAGAGAGGACACAGCACCATCTCGAACCTTCTGGCAAAATGGACCAGTAGGAGGCCAAATCAGTGGCCAAATTTTTTTAGAGTGTTTTTTTTTTTAGACAACATCACTGTGAGGAGGAGCACCGGTTATGCGCCAGCCACACTATGGTATGGCAGGCATGCAATATTCCCTATCGAGAGTTTCCTGAAGACATGGAGGCGGCATGACCTCGAGTCAGAGTTGACGTTCGAGGAACTGCTCGATTTAAGGGCGCGTCAGATCGGAGCCATAGAGGACAAGATTGAAGGAGCAACGAGTAAGGTGGCATATAACCGGGCACAAGATAAGTTCAGGTGGGACAAGATGACAAGAGTGAGGAAGGAGCCATTCGAAGTGGGAGACACGGTGCTGTTGTATGACTCATCGCTGGAGAAACAATGGTCACGGAAGTTGGATAAGCGGTGGTTGGGACCGTACAAGGTGGCAAAAGTCGGAGAGCATGGCGCGTACCAGATTGAGGAAATGGATGGAACAGCCTGGAGAGATTGGGTGTCAGGCTCGAGGCTGAGGAAGTTTGTTGCTCGAGATGAGGTGAGTCTAAACCTCACAGGCTAGAAGTCCCTTCCTGCTAAGTTTTTTTCGCTTAATAGAGATATTAGTTAGGATGTATAAATAGTCGTTAGGATGGCATTGCAGACTATAGAATTGGAATAGGTGTTTATGTGTATGTATGCATATACGGATGGATAGGTTAGATGGGATGGAATGTGTATGTCTCTCACTGTGTTGCCAAAACCTGCTTACCCTCTGTGTCCTTTTGCTTGTCTCTTCCTTGTTGTGCAGGCTTGACACCATTTTGGCGCACCCATGCCAAGAGGGAAGGGAGGGGCAGGGCCAGTGGAACCCCATCAGGGGGCAACCAGACAGAGAATGCAGGGATGGACCAGGAGAGAAAACAGACCACCCATCTTCACAAGAGGGAACGTCGAACTATTTCTGATCGAGTTCCAATGGCACGCGAGCGAGTTTGGATGGAATGGAGCTAGGATGTTGCGAGAGGTATGCGGAGAGGGCGAGTGGGCTGAGCCCATTGCCAGATATGTACGAGAGTCAGCGATCTGGCAGGAGTTCGAGAGAAGGATGGAGGGATTGCACCCATCGCCCGTGGGGAGAGATTGAGTATCGATCTGATTTGATGGGACGAACTTGGATGAGTTATTGTGGGCTTATGACCGGTTTGCGGACGAGCAGAACATTATACGTGAGACCAGAGTGAGAGGATTCCTCCAGTTTATGAAGAGGTATATCAGGATGTTCGTCAGGAGTTTTGTGGAGAGAGCGTTGCATTGGGGAGGCTGCAGATGACTACTGAGGAGCTACTACACTCCAGCACGCCAGGCAGAGGAGAGAAAGAGTATGAAAAAGAAAAGGAAGGAGCCTGAGGCTGAAGGCAGGAGGACTTTTGAGAGAGGTGCCTCGTCCAGATCTCAGGAGGGTGAGAGAAAAAGGGAACATGTTTTCTACAGGATAGAGAGAAGAGAGGAGCTGCCGGCTAAGAGGAGTCGGGAGAGGAGGAAGTTGGAGGTGCCTGAGGCTCCTCCTCAGTCTATTCAGAGACCAGAGGATCAGGCTATGACAGAAACAGGACCAGAGGCACCCTGTGAGATGACAGGACAGAGGATGGATAAGGACCAGGCTGCAAGACAGAAGGAATTGGACAGACAAGAAAGGGTCACCGGGGAACAGGAGATCAGAGCAGAAGTTAGGAGGAAGAACCTGGAGGAACTCCACAGGAAAGTGGAACAAGGAAAGCGGCCAGTGGACTTGAAAGACAGAAATGAAAAGAGTGTGAGCAGCCAGCAGGAAGAAGACCCTCCTCTACTCTCTGAAGCGTGGGAGAACTTTGATAGGTTGATGGGAGCTGCGAGAAGACCCGAGGGACCTCAACAAGAGATGGGGGTGAAGTTGGTCTTCACAGACTTACTCATATTGAAGGGAGTAATGAATGAAGGATTTGCAGCCGCACGAGCATCAGATCAAGAGATTGGAGAGAGATTGACCAAGGTGGCACAGAAGGCCTATAGTCAGGGGGTGGAATGGGAGCAGGAGGTCAAAGAGTTGAAGAAGAACCAAGAGAGACAGGACCGCGAGCTTGACGCGATGAAAGTGGAACTGGAAAAGGTCTGGGCTGGCAATGAGGCGATTAGGTAGGTGAACCAAACCCTCGACAAGGTCAACGAGGCTCTGAGGGCCTACCTGCAGGCTCAACAGGCTTCCTTCCAGGCAAAGGAGGGAAAGTGGGAGAAGAGAATTAAGGAGCCGGAAGCGAAGCTCGAGCAGAAGGCTCCCACAACTTTGGTGGATTGGACTGAGGTCCAAGGATTTGAAATGAAGAGGTCAACTGCAGAGGAAGCCTTTATAAGTCAGAAGGAGGAAGAAAAGGGCGATCTACAGGGAGGAGAAAATGTGCCTCTGCTGGATAAAGAGATGCTGCAGCCTCAGGAGATGCACATGGAAGGAAAAACCAAGAGTGAGGAGTTTGATTGGCGGATGCCGTCCACTGTGACACTTCAGCAGGTTCGAAGGGGGCAAGATGTGACACAACAGGCAGAGGTGGTGAGAGATGAGGGGCCACTGCCTATTGATCGGATGGTTGCTGAGGGGCAGATGATCCAGAGGAGCAAGGTTGAGACTGAGCAGGGAATAGGCCAAGAGACCTGTCAGGACTCTACCATGCCTCAGGGTACGCCTTTGGTAGCAGATTTGGAGGAGGCATTGGGCTCGTGGGCCACAGGGTCTGGTTCAGCAGTACGAGCGAGTGGGTCAGCGAGACAGACATAGGAGAGAGCAGCCTGCCCCACACCATTAGAGACCCCCCAGCACGAGGTTACGAGCGAAGCAACGACAGTTCCATCCTCAATATCCTCGCAGGAAGAAGAGAAGACAGTGCAGAAGAAGCCTGGGAAGTGTTTCTACTGCAAGAGTGGCAAACACTTCTCTGATGATTGCCCCAAGTTTTATGAGGATGAGGCGAGAGGGTTTGTTACCAAAGTATCCACTGGGATTTGGAGGGATAGGAATGGTAATTTGGTTGAGAGGTCTCGTGATGGTGGTAGGATGCAGTTATACAGACAGATAGGTGAGGTGTTGATTGACTAGGATTTGACATTAGGGTCCGGAAAGGTCTAAGCCTTGGCATGAGTAAAACATCTCTGACTCTCTACTGGTAGATGATTGTATATAGGAGGACACATGGAGGATTGGATCACACCCATGTATATCAGTAGTGAGGGCCATTATTGAGATGTTACCGTGAATACTATAGACCTTCATGACAGATTGTACATTAGATAACCTTGAGTGTGAGTTCGACTATCGTTTTTGTTCTTTCCTTGAGACTATGTACATTATGTGCTTGTGTGAGTTACATTTCTCTCTTTCTCTTTCAGAGTAGCATGTGTGAGACTTGTGTGAGCAGTGTGAGTGGTGTGCAGTGTGTGTCGATACTTGGACATTCGAAAATTTGACCTATCGGGATATTTTTTGGCTTCCTTGTACCATACTTTGACTTTCTTTGAGTGTGATAGGGGTCTTGCCTACTTGCAAACCCCATTGTCATTGTGTACATATGAGACTCAGACTTAATAGAGACTTGTGTGGTATATCACGCTCACATTCAGTTGTGGACTTGCTCATGTATGTATGGATAATGAGAAATGTTGTTATGATGGTTTGATATGCACTACCTTTTCTCTATACTTAGGCCTTCCTGTCATTGTTACAGGTAAAGTACTAAGTATAACTAAAGGAAAATGCACATCACAGGTGAGAAAGCTATGTGTTGAAGTTGAATAAGGAGGTTGAATGGAGGGTCACAACTGAAGGTTGTGTTATTGTGTGTGATTTGGAAGTGTGAAAGGAACTCAATGACCGGTTGAGTTCATCCTATGCATAACTAGAATTTTGAGAGAGCACTCTGAAGAGATGCTATGATAATGATGAAAAATTTTGTGTGCATGAAAAGTCTGACAAGGAAAGACCAGAAAGTTTGTGGGAATCATGGATGAAACTCTGACAATTATGATGAGATTTTTTTGGAAAGGTGTCCTTATTAGACGTGTGACCTTACCTGCCCTGATCAAGGCAAGGGAGACATGACCTTGTGGAAATTATTTGTGGATTTGTGAGAAAGACACTATCCCTCCACGTAGTCCCGTGGGCAGTTGGTACGTGATCCTTTGTGAATTTTTGTGTGAAAGAGAAGGTCAGACCACAAGCAATCAGTCTAAGGGACATATTATGTGAGGCCAGGCTAAGGGGCTATACTTAGCATCGCTGGAACTGTAGAACTAACTCCCAGCGAGGGCCGCTGACCGACGCAACCTGGCAGCGGGACCATGGCTCACCAGAGGTTAAGTCTTGAAAGGTCGGCCGCCTGGAGAAGCTTAGCTGGAGGGAGGGTCACTGGGGTCGATGAAGTCAAAAGTCGAGACCCATCGGGTGCCAAGGTGAGAGAAAATTGTTTATCGTTGCGCAACCAACGAAGGCACCATCGCTATATAACAACGCGGTGGACCGTGGATTCGGTTCGATCAACCGTTCTGCGGTGGGCCAAGATGGAGACCTAGAAACCGCCTGTGTTAGACTCCAGGTTGGGCGTTCTTTATGAGTGGAATTTTGAGATGATAATAATTACCATTTTGGGGACTGAAGGTGCCCCGTGTTTTGAAGAGGTCTCGGTTAAGGCCCGCGTCCTAAGTTATGACCCCGTACGTGGGACGATGACTAAACAGGACACCCAATGGTAAACCGGCAGATGTCTAAGGCAAAGGGAGAGGACTATCAAGCTACTACCTGGGAGCGGGCATTACGCTGTAGTACGGAACATAGTATCCCAGAGTCCAAGGCCAGGACGTGGGAGACCCAGGTTGGAACCCTGGCAGTGGAACACCGTAACGGGGGTAGATTGATAGAATACCTCGATCAGAGTCAAGCTGGCTAATCGGATTGGTCAACTTCCTTGTCAGCAAGATGTGATCTGAATTGTTTGTAGCCTTTGTTTTGACCGATGCGACGGGAACGTCGCTTAATAGGGTCCGGAAAACTGTCAGCACCATTACCTTTACAAGGGTAAATGTGCGTGTTTTGTGCAACTCGCAGAAAAGGCGACTGAAATAACATCTGAGAGAGTAACGCGTATTTCGTCTAGCCGCCCTGACTTCCAGGAAGTCAGGAGCGGCAGGCATATGTGTAGTTTGATTAGAGAGTGTATGGGCATGCACTTTGTGGGCATGCGTAAGTAGTTGACTACCGGCTAACTTAGGAGTTTAGACCGGACTGTGTCGACCGTAATGTCGTGACCGTTGATAAAAGTTACGGCCGGCACAAGTGTAGCCTGGGAGACAACGACCAGAAGAGGAACCTTCGCTGACCCACTGAAAGGCGACGACTTTGAGGTCGTATAGTGCGGGTGTCACGAGCACCGAGTTGATTGTGGATTACCAGCAACCGAAGGTAGAAAACGGGTGTGGACAGGGCACGTCAGGAGCAAAAGCAGGGGTGTTCCCGGCGAAAGCGGTGACAAAAGGACCGACCGCGGTGGGGCTATGAAAGCCACCTGCCACGACCATGACACGTAAGGGTGGCATGCGTAATGAGTTGAACAATGCATGCCCTTAGGGCAGCAAAAGGGGACACTACAAGGCCATGGGGGCGGACAGATAACCCACTGGCGGCCTTGAAGTACTTCAGCAGGCCAAGCAACCTAACGGTGTTATTGATATGTAGGACTGCGCCTGCTACCACCCGGCTTGGGCTTAGCCCTATTGGTTACGGTACTGAACTTTCACCATGCGGATCCCGGGATCGAGGCTGATGGCGAGCAGCGGAGCGGCGAAGGAGCAATTTGGAGTTGAATCGAGGGGTTGAGGGTCCCGTGGGACTATCCCCCTCGGTTTTGCTGAGGGATCCGGTAGCGGGCCCGTGAGGTAGGACCAAGTGCCAATGGTCCCCTACCCCAAACATTTCTATGGTCACCCTCGAAGGTGACCGTGAATTTTTGTACCCCACGGTTACGCGACTGCGGCTGCTGTCAAGTGGTCCTACACCAAATGTTGCCTTTGGGACCTCAGGAGATTTGTGTAACCGGTCCCCTGCCTTACCAGCCTCAATGGCCACGTTCACACTCAAACCTCACTAGCAGATCAAAGCTGTTCACGGCCACATGTGCCTAGTCCACCATCCCGCAGGTCCCTGGTCCTTCGCTGCTCACATGGCGCCGACCTCAAGTTACACAAGGCTCTTATGCACGAATTCCTAGAACAAGAATATATATATATATATATATATATATATATACCATATATATATATATATATGGTTTTACGTCATTGATGTCCCGAAGGATCATGGAAACATCCCGCAAGGAGGCTGCATAAAACCAGCTCCACAGCTAGATCTGCATTTTAGCGAACTAAGTGCCCGATCACGACCGGTCCCGGAGACCGGGGTCGGGCCTCGTTCCGGAAAAAAAAAAAAAAAAAAAAAAAAAAAAAAAAAAAAAAAAAAAAAAACTCGTTGACAAGAAGTTTGCACATTCATGAATGGTGCTATGGGACCTGCTAAGTACCAAATTGTTGTTCCTACAGACAGCAAAGGGTTGTTTCATCTGAAGAGGTACAGCAGTTTGACCAGAACCATGCCCGGAACCTTGACCTGGTCCGTCCCAAATCTGCATTTTCTTTCGCAGGTTTGGGGTCGTAGGGTGACCACGCCGTAGGGACCAAAGAAAGTGAGGACCGCAGATAGTAAGTGGTGCCTGAGATGCGAAGGATAGAGGGACTGTAGTGGAGGGCACAGGATGTGGGCAGTCGTGTACCCATAATACTCTCTCCATTTAGGCCTCAAAGGCCTGTTTTTTTTTACTAGTACCATTAAGATCCGCACCAGGACCGCTTTGCCCATGCTCCGCAGCAGGCCACGCCTTCCTACTCGTGCGGCATAGGAGTCATAACAGGAGAGCGCTGGCATAGACTGCACGGCTCTGTGCCATCTGCTTTTTGGGGCTGACCGACTAGGCAGGGGAGTTGCTAACGCACTCCCTAGCGGCTTGYTRCCTATATCASTCACCGGTCTCTCTAGCGTTCGAGTCAGCTGGCAGTTGGAGCCGAGCCGGGTTGCTGGTGAAGGGCAACGATGCCGRCGTACTCAAAGGTCATCACACTTSGGTATGGGGGAGGAAGTCAAATCAAGCCATYCAACAGGYGGTTCTYGWGATAATTGRGACAGAGGAGCATCGTTGCGGCTGTCCGATCTGAACGYTGTGTTCTCCATTATCAAGCCCTGCGCCAGTGACGAAGGCAAAGGAGAAAGGAAATGGATCTGGACGCAGGTCCTCGCCAGATACAGCTAGAAGATGGAGTGATGGGAGACGGGTGTCGTGGAGTAAAAAGGATATAACTCGTGTGTTTCTAAATAAGAATAGGGGAGGTAGAATGCTAGGTAGGGGTAGGAGCAGGGCGAATCTGAGTATGTGGTTAGATTTTGGAATCAAGAGAGAGATGAGGAGAAGGAGAGAACAATAAGTGCGTGGAAGTGAGGGACTAATGGGTATGGCAAGGGCAAAAATCGAATGTCTCACCCGATTCTTCACGGAATCAGGCGAAGTAAGATGCTGCACTGAGGTTTTGATGCATTGCGAGTTGAATGAGCAAGTCAGATTCGACCATTAAGCACGAAAATAGTCGCTATCAGCCTAACGAGGTGCGGGATGGGAGATATGGAGTACATGGATGAGAAGAGGGAACGAAGATATGTATAAGACTAAGGAGATAGTACAGCAGGAGAGAGGGAGCAGAGAGAGGAGAAAGGTAGCGCAGAGGAACGCAGCATCACGAGAGAGGAAGCAGT